ACTCACTGACGGACTCCACCGCCCCCGGCCGCCGGTGAGAGCCGGCCTCTGAAGAAGTGGCTTCCAACACGAACGTAAGGGACCAGCCGCGTCGGAGCCAACATGCCTACCACCATCCGGACCAGGTCGCACCGCCTCTTTGCGTCACTTCCGACAGCGCCCCACCCCTTTGCGTAAACGTCGTCGCCCCGCCCATTTCCCTGGGATGAGGTAGTGAGCGCGAAGCCGCACTGTGTCCTAATCCAGCCTTCCCGTTACGTCTCTATCCTGGGGGCCGCTGCCGTTCTCTGAGAGCGCCGTCCGCAAGGAGTGACCTGCGTATTGTGACTTGGATGGTGAGGAGGCGCCCTCCGAAGTGAGAATGGTATGGTGTGGACAGCCCTAGAAGGTCGGCTGGGCGAGCCGCGCGATACGGCCCTGGGGTGGGCGTGCTGGTTCTCGGGGAGGGAGGTGGAGACGCCCCCGGGGCTGGGCCTGGGCGCTCCTCTTCTGGAGTCTTTGTTACGCGGGTGCGAGAAAACCCCTTAACAGTGAGTCTGAACTCGCTCCTCCCTGCTGTGCTGATGTAGACGGTGTTTTCCCACCTCGACCTGCCACTCGGCCTGCTCCTTCTGAATTAACTGCCTTCCAGACCCTTTTAAGGTGCCAGATCTTTCCGAACCGTGGACCTTCCCAAAGCTAGCGCTTCGTATTCTGCCCTGTGAGAAAGACCACAGTTGCTTTAAAGGCTTGTTTTATTGTTGCTCTGCAAACTTGAACTTTATGACCAGCGGCAGCCAGTGGTCCCCAAACATGAAGCCTGACCTCAGATGCTGTGCTTGAGTCTGGAGTAGGCCCAAGAAATCTGCATTTTAGCACGCCGTCCAGTCTCTGCAGGGCTAATTCCTTGATCCTGAGCCAAGCCCTGGATTCTTGGCTTTTGTTTCTTAATATTGCTTTCTATTAAATTCTGGATGGACTCCACAAGCTTCTCTGGACTGCCCTGTCCCTAAAATCCTTAGGATCTCTGCCATGGGTTCCAGTTTTCCTAAGAACCTCCATGTTTTATTAAATTATAAACAGCCTGCCAGCCTTACACCATAAGAGATTTCGATTTGAAACGGATCGCTTGCTGTGCACTGAAGACTTCACACTCAGAGTAACAAGCATGAAAAATAGGATACGTATGGAGAGAAATGTAGACCTGAATTTAGGGATTCGAGTGCACTGAATAAATACTACTACTGTCACCCATATGCCCCACAACTAGAAACCTTTCTTCCTGGAGTTTGGCCCATGTCCTTCTGAACAGCCTATTGATTGACCCTCTGGCCCTATAGGACTCTCTCCCTGTTCTCCTGCCCTCCTATCTTCTAAGTGGTATATAAATTGAGGAAGGAATCCACTATTTTCTGGATGAAAGTTGACTTTCCAGTTGATAATGCATTAGCATGACTTTCTCCGGGCTACCATTCACTGCTTATCTTTATAGTGGTATGTACAAACCACTGAGATAATGAAGTTCATGAATGGATGGACAAGGCTTTCCATCCTTCCTAGGGAGCTTGCTTCCAGCAAAGAACAGTGCTGTGATGCCAAGACCACCAAAAACAAAAACAAAAAACCGCAGCTTAAACAAAAAAGAGCATAGAACTTGACAGTCTGAAGATCTGGAGTCTTCAGCTCTACCAGTTATTGGCTGTATGAATTTGGACAATTTAATTTACTTTTCCAAGTGTTGATGCCCTTCATCTGAACATGAGTCATTTAAGAGAGTACCTAGCCCACAGCATGTATTCAAGAAATGTTGTTATATCTTCCTTTCCTGGAAGCTACTGAGGAGAATTAAAATTCATTCACCCTCCATGTCTTCCTTGCTGAATTACAAAACAAAGGTTTAACCTCAGTGCTTTCTTATATGTAAAGCAATATTGTTCTAGAATTTTTTTACTATAAAAAGGGTATAGTTCCAATTAATAAACTGTTTTGACTATGTGACAGTGACACTTACTTGTTTTACAGGCATGCTCCAAGAAGTCCAAGGCAATATCCCTTACTGCCTTCTGCAGGTTACTTGATGGCGTTGGGTCTCAGATGAGCACCCTATGTGAATGGATGCTTTTTAGAAAGTAAGGGAAAAGATGCCAGGCCCTGAGCTGGCAACTTCTAAATGCAAATCAAGTTCCCAAATTTTAACAAACTGTGAGAACAGACTCTAAAAGACCTAACATACAGCAGTCCAACCCCAAATCAAGAACCTGTATGATAGCTAGAAATAGAGAACACCTTTTTGTCTAACATCTTAGTGAGGCTGCCATGATAGCCGAGCTCTCTGAGTTTCATTATGCTGCCCAAAGACAAGAAGAAAGATGCCAGAATGTCAGCCAAGAAAAAGATCCAGTGAACAAATCTGGGGAAAGGCCAAAAAGAAGAGGGTCCAAAGGCAAAGTCGGGACAAGCTCAGTAACTTGGTCTTGTTTGACAAAGTGATATATATGGCAAGCTCCGTAAGGAAGCTTCCAGCTGTGAGTTTATAACCCCAGCTGTCATCTTTGAGAGATGGGAAGATGTGTGGTTCCCTGGCCAGGGCAGCCCCCCAGAAGCCCCTTAGTAAAGGATTTATTACATTGGTTTCAAAGCACAGAGCTCAACTAATTCAGACCAGAAATGCCACGGGTGGAGATGTCCCAGCTGCTGGGGAGGATGCATGAAGAGGTCCCACCAACTACATTTTGAAAAATAAAACTATTATATCACATAAATAAAGCAGTGGAACTGGGGGAAAAACTTTTGTTCTAACAAATTCATTTTTAATGTACTTCTTTCAAAAGTTTGCTTGATCTCCATCTCCCTATAAGTATAGAAAGAGAAAAGGAACTTGTCTTCTAGTAGTTTCAGTAACCCAGAAATGAATCTTGTAGTTTCTACATTAGAAGGGTTTGAGTTGTGGTCTCTCTCCAGGAGAAATGCCATGCTGCCACTTCAGCCACTTCATCCCAGGAAGTAGCCCTTTCCCCTTAAGATAAGTTTATAAATTAAATTTAGCATTTTAAGATCATTATTTTTAAAAACCTTATGTTAAAGCATATCCATTAACCATTTTTCTCGTCTTCAGTGCAGCTTGTGTTCATTTGTTGCTGCTCTAGTGGCTCCTGAGGAACTGAGGCCCCGGGTCCAACAGCCCATGAGAAACGATCATGCCAACAACCACGTGAATGATCTTGGCATCAGACCCACCCCAATGGAACCTGAAGGTGCCTGCAGCCTGTGGAAGACTGAGCAGAGGATCCAGCTAAAGTGTACCCAGATTTCTGACTTATGGACACTGAGGTAACAAGTGGTGGTGTCTGAAGCACTCAGTTTTGAGGTAGTTCGCATGTAGTGACAGATAACTAATACATGCACAAATGGCTGGATTGAATCCACTGGCTTTAAGGAAAGTCTCAGCGGTGCTGGTACAGGCTCAGGCAGGCCCCTCCCTCCTGCCCCACAGTGTAAGTGTATGTGCACTTGGCGTAAGGGCCGCGTGTCTGGCTGCCGTGCCCATGAGGAGGGCGCTGAATGGTGCCTGTGTCCTCCCCCAGCTACATGGACCTACCCCAACCCCTCACTGCCTGACTAGAATGCCCACCCCTCAGCACTTGGTAAAGAAAAGTAACATCTCCACCCTTAGAAAAAACTGCACCGAAGGAAGCTCTGTCCAACTACACTTTAGTTGCTCCTAAAAGACAGAAATGAGAAACTTGATCCTTAGAAGGAAAAGAATGGAAGACTCTAGTCCTGTGACCGAAGCAGGACTTTGAGAGAGCAGGAAGGCTTGACTTTCCCCTCACTGTCTAGAGCAGCAGTCTCCAAAACAAGCAAGACAGTCCACTGGGATGTGGGAGAAAATACTATTTTTTATTAAAAAATAAGAAATAAAGCTTTACTAGTAGTTACTCTACAAGCTGATCGTGGGGCCCTCTTAGTCCAGATTAGCTTTGAGAACAGCCCAGTACAGAGCAGCAGACAGTGGCCACCGCCCCTTCATTCACTGTAGAACTGCCAGCAGGCACTGCTGATTTCAGGCCCTGCTTAGCAGGATGTACTGATCATACTGTCTGTATATTAATACTGACCAAAATTAATCCTCAGCAAATGGACAAGGACCTGAACATTACTTAAAGAAACCCGTCTGAATGCTAATATGTGAGCACAGGGGAACTTTCAGGAAATGATGAAGCTGATTCTGCTATCCCTAGTATGTTAGCCACATTAACCCTTTTTTTTAAACCTTGTAATAAAATATAGCAGGAGGTCAGCAAAAAATACTAAAAATCATCAAGATAATCTGAAGTATAGTAAAATATGCTCTAAGCATATGTTGTGCCTCCAGAGATTTGCTAGTGGTATAAAATTTATAAATAAATTATATATGCATGTATATAAATAAAAATACTCAACTTTTACCAGTAGAGTACATAATCAAAAGCATTTAGAAGATGTGGGTCTACAGGACTCTGTGACATTTTCTAACCTAAATATCAGAGTCTGGGAATGACCAGCAGGACCCACCTCAAGGAGTATAGAGGGTTAAGAAGAGGAGAGAAAAATGAGAAAACAAAATAAGTTTATTTGTCCTCACCCACAGAACATTTTCCCTGAAATAGAGTCTCCCTAACACCAGGCCCAACTTCCAGGCTGAATGGTTGGGACCCTTCCCTCCCTTACTTCCCCAGTAACCCAAAACTTTTAAAACAAATGCCTAAAACCAAATCAGAGGGAAAAGCATTGGTATGCCTTCCACACGTATCAGTCTTAAAATGTTCCGGCTGCCACGGGAGAGGCTGCTGGGAGCAGCCTTTCGTTCTGAGATAAGAGGCCCCCTGCACGCCTGCTGCTGCCGTCATGGGGAGGAGGCTGGTGCTTTCAGAAGGTAGGGCTTTGCTGCCTCCAGGATGTCTAGCTTGGGGTCCAGGGAGCGGCCAAGCCCCTCCAACACCATAATGGCGAACACAATTGAGGCAAAGTTGCTCTCAAGCTTTACCTGAAAGAGAAAAAACGGTTCTTTCTGAAGCCCACTGATACCAAGAGAGTGTCCTGGATGACCATGTCACTGTCCCCTCTTGGCCTTTTGTACATGCCCATGTGATTTTTACTGTCTCCCTAACATTGTTTACCCATTATTTTCCCCACTATCTCATCTACTCATCCAACCTTCCATCTGCTAGCGATATTAAGGAAAATTCTGGGGGATGCAATAATGTCCTTGAGGGTGTGTGTGTGTGTGTGACTTAATAAAATGGACATTTCACACCACCAAAAACTAAATCTAAATAACAGTCATTCTTCAAAATATGCAGTAGCCTTTCTAAAACCATGCATAACTGGCTGTGCTCAAATAAAGCAGTTTCCTCCCTTTGGGAGGCAGGTTAATAGTAGTAACAATTCACATGGATCACTCAGTTATTCTTCAGAAGTACCATCACTGTTTCCATTCTGTACATAAGGAAGCCGGGGTCAGGGTGATTAAGTGACTTGCTCAGATCCCAGGATGAGGAAGAGGAGAGCCAGTATTTACACCTAGAAGAACAAGAATCTATTTTTCAAGTATACAGGTCAAGAAATGGAAGGTTGACTCTTGGGGAAAAAAATCTTTGTTAAAAGTAAAGGGTATTTGTTTCTGTTAAGGCCTCAAAAGTTGTCTGGGGATCAGACTGGCTGGTCAGAAGAAAGCAGCATGCTCCCATTAGGGCACAGGCCCCCCCAGCTGGGACGTGAGATGTGCACAGAGGACCATTAGCCACACAGGTCTGTTCAGGGCAGGGGACCTGGGACTTCCACACTTTGGGGAATGCTTTCATTCTTTAGCCAAGTGGTGAATTCTTAAGTGTTTGTTGTATTTTTTCCATCTCTATTTCTGTGAAATATTTTATTTAAAAAATTAAGTGCCAAGTAAATAGACATTTCTCCAAAGAAGACAGAAAAATGGTCAACCATCTTATGAAAAGATGCTAAACATCACTAATCAAATCATTAAAGAAATATAATTAAAACCACAATGAAATAGCCCCTCACACCTATTAGGGTGACCATTATCAAAACAAACAAAAAGTAACAGTTGTTGGTGAGGATGTGGAGAATTGGAACCTTCGTACACTGAGGGTGGGAATGTAAAATTGTGCCTGCTACAGAACACGGTAAAGAACTTCCCCCCAAATAAATGCATGATCCGGCGATCCCACTTCTGGGTGAATTCTGTGTCAAGAAATGAAGGCAGGATCTCAGTTATTTGCACACCCATGTTCACTGCAGCATTACTCATATCAGCCACGAGGTAGAAGTGGCCCAGGTGTCCACTGATGGATGAACAAATAAAGAAAATAGGGTGTATATATCTATCTACACAAGGAATGTTATTCAGTCTCTAAAAAGGAGATCCTGTTACATGCTACCACCTGGATGAACCTTGAGGACATTATGTTGAGTGAAATAAGACAGTCACAAAAGGACAAATATTATATAATCCCACTTATATGGGATATCTAGAGTCATCAGAATCATGGAGACAGAAAGTAGGAGGGTGGTTGCCAGGGACTGGGAGGAGGGCAAAATGGACAGTTGTTCAATGGGTATAGAGTTTCAAAAGCTCCGGAGATGTGTTACTCAACAGTGACACTGTTGAAATGTTCACTTGGAGACAGTTGGGGTAAATTTTACTTTTTTTTAACCACAATTAAAATTTTTTTCATTTAAAAAAATTAAATGCCCAGTGAAGTGCTTAGAACTAGGCCCTCTCTCTGCTCTTCTATCCTGGGAATAACAACAGCAAACATTTAAGGAACCCTTAACCGTTGTGTCTCACACTGTGTAGGGAAGGCTAACTGCAGAGAAAGCGCACAGGAGCCAGGAAAGCAAAGCAGCTCGGAACGGGGTCTCCGTGAAGACTGCTAGGCCCTGGGTCCCCACACTGCCACAGGCTCGTGGGGTCGTGGGTGAGTTGCTTGGCATCTTGCATTGCTGAAATGTTGAGGGGTTTAAAATTGGACACTAATAGATGAGATAATAAGCTAAATTAGGTGCTGCTCACAGCACAATGCTAAGATTACTGTTGTTGCGGCCTAATCCAGGCCTCACGGCAGCCCTGTGGGCTGGAGGAGGCTGGCACAGGTAGAGCTGGCAGCTGACCGAGCTGGGTGTGAGCCTCAGTCACCTGCCTCACGTCCTGTGCACCTGAGCTCCCAGGAGTGTGTGCGCATTCCCCTTTACTGCAAAGCCACCTCTCGCAATCTTGAAAGCCTCCCCAGTCCTAGAGTGATATTTCGCCATTTTTTAAATAGAACTTCTCAAAAGCTTTGGAAGGCATAAAGTTTTCCACCAAAAACAGAACTACAAAATCAGCCAGCCCTGGAGTCAGACAGGTGCAGACCTTGCCTCCACCAAGCCCGTCAGTGGGACTTGGGGAGTTATTTAACTTCTGTGTACCCCGTCTCCTTGTGGGGATAATACAATAGAGATCATGCCTGCCTGTGGGGAATTGTGCTGGGACTTAAATGAGAAACTGGATGAAAATCCCCCAGTACAGCAGATCCCCAGTGGTGGGCTTCCCACATGCTAGCTGTATCCCTAACTTTTATGATTATGAGTCCATAGCATGCTTGGGGAGCCCCTTAGTGTGTGTGTCGTGTCCCAAGAACGCAGCTACCGCAGAGTAGTTTTGGAGCAGCAAAGAGCAGTGGACTGAGATGCCTGGTGACCATCAAGTCCTGGCTCTGCCTGTGAGGCCTGACCCAATGAGCTGACTGCCCTGCACTTCTGTAAGGCACAGGCAGCTTTCTGACCTGTAATTCTATGTTACGATCATGGCCAAATGGCTACCTCTTCCATGTCTTGTTTCATTATCAGATTGCTGAACCTCAAGAGAAACCTTGGGAAAGGCCTTCAAATGAGAATCACCCTTCCCCACCTCCACACCCTGTACCTTGGCTGGCAGCTTTACTGTGAAGAGTGGCCTGAGACTGCACTCCATCCCAAGGAGTGAGGGTAAAGGCCAGGGTGGAGAATGTGAGGCCCTCTCCAAGGGACTGGGGCAGCAGGCAGAGACCAGGATGGCCTTGCAGGGGCTTCTGAACACACCAGGACAAGAGGCACCTCTTGGGCCACCCCAGACCCTTAAGCCAGCATAGTAAAGAGCTAAGTGTGACACTAATGTCACACATCACTGGTGTGAACCGAGGAAGGAAAAGGCATGAAAAGCCTGAGTTAGATGATGTTTACGTTCACACACACACATTTCTACAGCTACACATCACAGACACTTGGACTGCACAGACGGGCAGACACAGACTGGCTCCACCTACGTCAGGAAACAAGCAGCCCTCTTCCCAAATGGATGAGTATGCAAAATGTTTTCAAAACTAAGATCTACAGAGAAGTACCTCTGAGGACCCTGTGTACAACTGCTGGCCTCCCCCTCCAGGCTGACCAGAGCACAGCACAGCCCCACCTGGGCCTCACCTTGTGAGTCATCAGCAACTTAAAGACATTCGAGAGAAGGCTGGAAACTTGAAGCTGGAAAACAGAATAAAGCCAACTGCAGAACCGCCCCCCCTCCATCCCACCACCCACACTGTCCACACCTACCCACACCCTGGGCGCACACATTGTGACTGCCCGTGAGCCTCAGCTTGTTCTGACTCACTTCTGCTAGTGTAGACCATGAACTTGGGGAGAAAGCAGGTTTGTTACAACAGTGTAAAATGCTAAGTGGGCTCTGGCTCTACATAAAGGACCTGAACGTTAGGGTGTGTCCCCTGGCTGCTCAGGGGCCTCAGTCCTCCCTCCCTCTGTGCGGCTGGGCCCCTGATACAGATGGAGCAGACCAGCTACACCCAAGATGAATGCATGGCGGCACTGCAAGTGTTACTGGCCAGCAGCCACCCAAGAGCCGGGAATTTCCATGGGCCGCCTCACACCTGGAAGAGGGCACGGAGGAACTCAAATCCTCCGGAGACCTCTCCACAAAGAGGTCACCCTCAGACCTGGGGTTTGCTCTGTCGCACAGCAAGGGTAGTGAACACCCCACGGCCCCTGACCCTCGAGTGGCCTGCGCACCTTTTCCAGGGTGATGGTGTTCTTTCTGGCCTGCGTCACCAGTGTGGCCATCTCAGCCTTGAATCCCTCCACGTCCCTGCACTCACTGGCCCGCGCATGATGCAGGACGAGCTCAGCCACTCTTTGGCCCTGGAAGATGCAAGAGAAAAGAAACTTGGTAGAGTCAAGCGGGCAGAAATCTAGGTGCTCTGCCCAACTTCATATTCTAGTTGCCTCCACCCTAGTGTTTTGCAATCCTGCTTTAGGCCACCCAAACTTTTTAAATTTTGCCCCTCCAGAATACCTGGTAACTCACCAAAGCCTCCATTGGTCAGCGAGCCCCCACCTGTGCTTAGCACCTTCACCCTTCAGGGCAAAGCCAGCATCCTGCTGCTCATGTTCCACGACACACCGCCAACTAACTACCTGGGCACAGGGCACCAGGGCCTGCCACGGGGCTGCACCAGCCACACTGTCCTCGTGGGCTGTCTTCCTGCTGGAGCCGAATTCCCTCCTCACAGCCTCTGTGCTCCAGCCTTCTAGCTCCTCCTGCTTCACCAGGGCAGAAGGCCCACCTGTCCCGGTGGTCAGGCTCATGCCTTTCACCTTCTGGAGCACTGCCCCCAGAGCCAGGCTCTGCTCTGCCAGCTGTGACCTGCTTCCTTCACCCGAATCTGTGCGGAGGAGTGCGCCCCACCTCAGTGTTTAACCTGCGCCCAGGGGATGCTTTCCGACCGCTCAGCCTCACACCTCTGGCTTACCCCCTCGGAAGCCTCCTCACCAGGGGCTCCCCTGAATGTGCCTGTCTTTTTTTTTTTTAAGCCAGCTCTCTTTCCCAGGGTCTTTCTTACTGGAGAATTACACCAGCTGGCCAGACGATTTCTTCTTTGTCACTCCAATTTATCACTTTATGTTGACTCAGTAGAGGCTTTGCTAAATCCTTCTCTAAATAATTCTCAGCTACTGGAGCCCCTCAGAGCCACAGGGTAGGAGGTTAAAAATGACTTGCTTCCCACCCCAGATTCCTATTCATCTTCCCACAGTTAAAGAGTAAGTTATCTATGCCTCTGCTTCTCACCAGCCCACTGCCTTGAGCAAATGGCACAGGCCACGGCAGTGTTAGTCAAAAACTAGCACCCCAGCACCCAGCCTGACACTTCCAAATGAAGAGAAACTGCTAGCCTACAACAGCATTTGGGAAGGAGGCATTTCTTCCCATCATCCCAAACCATGAACTGCTTGGAACAGTCCTCAGACACAGGCACCGCACATCTGACTCTAGCCCCCGGATGGCTTCCTTCCCTCCTTCCGCTCACCCATTTCCATCAGGAGCACCCCTGGAAAACAGGCAGTTACAGGAGTGACAAAGGCTGAGTAGCTGCACATTTCACGAGTCTAAAAGGTTCGGTCCCACTCCCATGGGCCCGGCGGGTCTCACCTGCCCCATTGCCACAGCCATGAAAACTGCCCGGAAGTTCCTCAGGTCAGTGGCCTGCAGCTCGGCCACGATGCCAGCATCCAGCAGCACCAGGCGCAGAGGGCACTGCGCAGGCATCCTGGTAGCCGCTAGCGTGTCACAGACAGCCACCTGCTGTAGCCGCGCCTCTTGGCCCGTGCAGGGACTGTCGGCACCCTGGACCAGGATGTTCCCAGGGTGAAGGTCTGCATGGACGAAGTTGTCCACAAACACCTTGAAAGAGATTAGCACTGTTCAAGGCTAAGCCAACCCTCACCACCCATCAACACCAGGCTACACGCAGAAAAGCTCTCCAGGGTGACGGTGAGATCCCAGGGATTAGTTAACAATGGCAGAGGGGTACACATTTTACAGAGCCTCATTGCTTAATGTCATCAGTTGAGAATTTGTATAGGGACAGGCCAGGTTGATGTTTTTAAGACAAAAGTTATTTTCAAAGTAAAAAGCATTGAAGAAGATTATAAGGGAACAAGAAAAATTTAAGACCAAACTGCATCTCAGAGGACTGATATTTAGTCTATTAAGTAATTAATATTCTGATTAAAAATAATTACTGTTTAAAGATTTCCCCCAAACTATGTTCTTAAAATTTGAGGAACTGCCAGAAGAATTTGTGAAACTATTCTTGGAAAGCATTTCATAAGTCAGACTTGCCCTCCATCACCCCATCTGTCCACAGAGTGCTGGCTTGAACCTTCTAAGCAGGTAAGAAAGCCCCAGAACTGTGATGGACAGGAAGTCAGGCATGACCTTGTGGAACAGGAATCAGCCTCCTGTGAAAGGTCACCTTGGTGATGAGAGAAACCCCCAGCAGCTCTGTGAGGGGAAGGAGGGGCCCAGGGGACAGCACAGAGCAGCCGCTCCGGGAGTGGTGCTCGGGGCCTCCTGCTGGTACAGCTGCAGACACACCAGGGTTCAGGTTCTGGCTTTGCAGGTGGTAAGAGGCTGCTGCCCTAACTGAAAATCCTGGGACCTGGGGAATCTGGGGCCTGCATACCAGGATGTGGTCGCCAAAGGCTGGCTGACCCTAACTCTGGGCATTTTGCTATCAACTTGGCCACCTGGCCTACGCCCGCATGCATGAGGTCATGAGCTGGAACCCCCTCATGATCTCACTGCTTCTGGTGCTGCTCAGCACTGCTGCTTCCTGGTACTCCCTGCTGCACCCTCCCCTCTGGCCCAGGGTGCCCCTTGGGGCCCTGTCGTTGGGGACAAAGTCCCCTCTCTCCCCACTGAGTCTCCTGCACTGACTCACCAGAAACCTGGCTCTATGAGACAACCTGCCTTCTCCGGGAGCCCTGCAGGAGGGGGCTGTGGCTTTCTCATCCATGAACCTTGGGCCTGGAGGTAGAGTCAGGGTCCTGTTCAGCCAGCACCCTCTTTTGCCCTGAGCCCTCTCCACCCCAGCGACCCTGTGCTGCCAGCTTGCACCACACCACCAGCCTACTGTGAGCTATCATTCTTACCTCTGCCCACCGTCTGCAGCTGCCTGGGCCCCCAGAGCTCCACCTCAGTCACATGGTTCTTTCCCCCCACTCTCTGGCCACACACCTGGTTCCTTCTCACCTCGATTCTGCATCCTCCAGACCTGGGCGCATCCTTTTTCCAGCCTAGACCCTGCCATCCATCCCTCAACTGCTCTCTCCTCACCCCTCAACCGCTAGAAACACCTCAGACTGCAGACAATCTCAGGATCTTCTGTCTCCTCCTACAAGTGACCTGCTAACAGGGCTGGGTTGCTACTGTCACTACAGTGAGGGTGCCACTGACTAACGTGGCTTAGGGCTCACTGTCCTTGGACAAGTGTCAAAGTCATTTAATCACTGTCAGGCCATCCACTGGCAGGTGACCCTAGACTTCCTTTCTATCCCAGCTGAGACGGAGCCACTTCCTAAATGAATTCCTTAGCTGAGATGGGTCCCTCCTAAATGGCCCTTTGGTGCCCATACTGACCCTATGTCATTTACTTATTCAGGGCCTGTCTTCCCACCAAACGGGAGTTCCACAAACATTGTAGTGACTATTTTGCTCACTGCTGTAAACTTACACCAAACGAATGAAGCCACATTAAACATCTTCAGCTGTTTGTCTAAATTGTAGGCGACTTGGGGAAAGCCTGGGTCCTGCTCACCGCTCTTCCACAGCACCTTGCACAGTAACAGAGTGCATGCCACTGAGAAAGTACTTAACCAAAAGCTGTAGACCAAGTAGGCACTTTGGTACGCTCAGCTATTTCTAGAGCAGACTCTACCAACATGGTGGCTTGCTGTGGCTCACCTCCCACCCACAGTAGCTGAGCAGTGTCCCCGCTGTCTTCCCACATGCAGTCTGACACAACACTGGGCCTGAGCGCCCTCTCCGAGCCCAAGAGCTTACCATCTTCAGGAGCATGTTGATCCCCAGCCGCGCAATCTTTCTCTTCAAGTCAAGGGGAATGCCTGCCTGCTGGTAACTGGACACGGGCACACTCTCC